GCTGAGAAAAGCCCTTAGGATCTTTCCAGAGCAGAGACTAAGTCCCAGTTGTAGAATGAGACTTGAGTAGTGCAGCGGAAGTTGAGGCAGTTGAACCCTTGTACTAGTATGTGAGAACAAGTGATTAATTGAAGAAACAAGCATACAACAATATATAGAAAATGGGAAGGCAGTTGTAGAATACAGTTACAGGAACGGTTTATCGAGTCGCACAGCGACTCGATTGCCGCTTCGGTTACCATCCGTGATGTTGTAACGGTCAGTCGCAACCTCCAGTTGCGACCTTTCGAGTCTTTTCGCATTCTTTTGTTCACCCCCTCGTGTAACCTCCGTTGACTCGCGTGCTCCCCTGTTATCTTCCTCGAGTACAGTGTTACACTTCAGAAACGCTCAAGTCCTTTGAGATATTTCCAACACTCCCCTTCGTTTCTGGAGTGCTGGAGTGTTCAGATCCGGTGACGTTTGTTTGCCCGGTCAGGAGCATGCAGTAGTCGAATTTTGCTTTCGCCAATTTCTTCGTCAGATAATCTGCGGCCATTTCTGTCGTTGGGCAGTAACTGAGTTGAAGTCTCCCCTTCGCGATTTCATCCTTGACGAAGAAGTACCGCAGGGCGATGTGCTTGGTTCGGTTGGCGAAGCCGTCCTTGTTCGCGATTTTGATCGCAGATTGGTTGTCGCAGAGGAGTGAGAAGGCGGGCAGGGTCGCAATCTTCGCTTCATCGAGTAACTCTCGTAGGTAGAGTCCTTCCTTGGTCGCGGTACAAAGGGCGATATACTCTGCTTCAGCCGAGGATAGTGCGATTAACTCCTGCTTGCTCGACTGCCAGGAGATAGTTCCGATGGGTTCTAGTCGGTAGATATAGCCCGTCCTAGATCGTCGATTTTCCCTATCTCCCGCGTGGTCGGCGTCGACGTATCCGAGTAGTCGTACGGACGGTGTTGTCGCTTTGCTGTAGGTAAGTCCGATCGTCGGCGTGGAGACGAAGTAGAGTAGTGCCCGGTTGAGCTCCTCGAGATCTTCTTGTTCCGGCTGCTTCAGATGCGTCGCCAGTTGACTCGCACTATAGGACAGGTCGGGTCGGCAGGTTACTGCTGCGAACAGTAGGCAGCCGAGCTTCTGTTGATACTCCTGGATTTGCTTCGCGGGGAGTTTTGCGGAGGTGCTGTTGTTGTTCCCGTAGCGGTAGGGAGTTGGGACCGTAGTCGGTGTTAGACCGAATTTCTTCGCGACGGTGCCTGAGTACTTTCCAGCGTGTAGGTAGAACGCCGTGTCGTCTTCGACGACATTCAGTCCTAGGTACTGGGTCACTTCGTCGGACACCGTGAGTGTTAAGTCTTCTTTCAGCTCCCCTTCGAACCAGGTAGCGATGTCGGTAGTGGAGCCGATGTAGAGCAGGTCGTCGACGTAGACGATGAGTAGGACATACTCTCTTCCCTTCTGCAGTCGGTACATCCCTTGGTCATGCGGCAGTTGTAGGAATCCGATTTTTGCGAGACGGCCGTGAAGGTGCTGCTGCCAGAGCCGTGGGGCTTGCTTGATCCCGTATAGGGATTTTGTCAGTCGGCATACTTTCGTGGGGTCGTCGATGAATCCGTGGGGTTGTTCGACGAAAATCTCAGCGTCCACAGGTGCGTATAGGAACGCATTGGCGACGTCGATTTGGCGTAGTGGTAGTGTCTTCGTGGCCGCGACGGCGAGTAGGATGCGTAATGAGGTGTGACGGGAGACTGGAGCGAAGGTTTCTGTGTAGTCGGTCCCGTATCGTTGGTCGAAGCCTCGTACGACCCATCGAGCTTTGAATCGTTCGATGGAGCCATCTGAGTTGGTCTTAATGCGGTACACCCATTTCCCTGAGAGGACGTTTTTTCCGTTGATGCTTGTTGCAGGTACCAGTTTCCATGTTTTCCGGTCTTGCAGAGCCTTTAACTCATTTTCCATCGCTTCCTTCCATTTCGCCTTATGTTCCCCCCCCAGAGCCTGCGACAAGGTCGAAGGCTCTCGCGGAGAAGGCGGCGGCGGATGCTGGACGGAGACCCAGAGGCCTAGAATCTGCAGTCCCGTGGGTGTGTGTCGAGGGGAATTTTCATTCCCGGAATAAGCTGCTTCGTCACCGTCTTCTGGGTCAGGTAAGAAGTTGGGACCGATGCGTTCTGAAACATTTGTGTCGACTGGGTGGGGTGTAATGTAACCTTGGTCAGCGAAGTGGTAAAAGGTGTCGAGGTTGTTGCTATCGAGAGGATTGTCTTCGTCGAGTGGAACAGGTACGGAACAGAATGGGAGTGGTCCGGCAGCTTCTGAGGCTTCAGGTACGTCTTCTTCTGCTGCGTCAGCTTCGGCAGCACGGTCGGCGAAGGAACGAAGTCCCGAGAAGCCGTCGGTGGGGTCTTGTGTGTTGGCAATGTTGTCCAGGTAATGCTGCAGCGTCAGTCGCTCGTAGAAAATCACATCACGTGATGCCACGGTATTTTTGTCTTGTATGTCGAGAATTTTCCACGCGTGAAAATGTTTTGCGATGCCGAGGTGTAGTCCCCACCTAGCTCGTTGTGTGAAGCGTCCTGCTCGGGCTGTGTGGGGTCTGCACTGTACCATGCAGCCGAAAACTCGGAGTAATTTTGTGCTGCCCCTTTTTCTTGTCCACAACAGGTGCGGTGATGCGTTGTTGGGAAGTGATGACGAGGACAGCAGGTTGTGCAGGTGAACGGCATGTGTCATCGCGTCTGGCCACAGTGTGGTGGGCAGCCTCATCCCCAGAAGCAGTTTTCGCATCGTCGTCTGCAAGGTCCGGTTCATGCGTTCTGCTACCCCCTGCTGTTGGTGAGCATAGGGCAGAGACACCAGGCGTCTGATTCCTCTTTCCGCCAGATAGGTCCTGAAGCGTTGTGACTGGTATTCCAGTGCACCGTCTGACTGGAAGCTTTTGAGCTTGGTTCCTGATTCGCGTTCGGCGATGGGAAGCCATGTGGTGAAGGCCTCGAAGGCTTGATCGCGCGTTTTGAGATTGAAGTGCCAAACGTATCTGGTTGTTGCGTCGATGAACGTGATGACGTAGTTGAAGTCGGCTTCGGTGTCTTCTCGAGGCATGTTTAAAATATCGCTGTAGACCTTTTCCATCGGAGCGTAAGTAGGTGCGCTTGGGTTGTGATGAGATGGGAAAGGTTGATGAGGAAGATCTGCTTCGGGGCACGTGAAGCACCGTGCTCGTGGTCGTCGTAGTTCTTGGCCGCTCGTCGTTAGAAGGGCGTTGCGTTCTAACACCTCTGCTTGGATTGTTTGTAGTATCGTGCTGTTTGCAGGATGTCCGAGACGTTGGTGCCAGATCTCGTCGGAAGCGCGATGACCGGGCGAGCGGTGGTAGATGTCGGCGTTGGAGAAGAACGCGACGACTGAGGCGGGACTTCGACAAACTTCTCGTGTGATGGGCATAAGCTGGTCTGCTTCGGTTGGCGGTCCTCGGGTCGCTGGTGGTGGGACTCGGCTGGGTCCTGCTGCCGATACTGCAGGTGATGGTTTGGTTGGGATACTTGCGGGTACTTGTCTTTCTTGTCTGATAACTGCTAATGCTCGTGTTCTCTCTGCTGCAGGTATGGTGTTGGAGTGCCAGAAGCCGTCACTGTCGAAGTCGGGATCAAGATCCGGCGGGTGAGTCCAGGCGGCGAACGATACGATACCGTCGCTGTCGGCAGTACCGCGGTCGGGGACGAAGTCCAACACGAAGACGCCGGACTTCAGGAGGGCACGACCGATGAAGAGGCCGCCCTTCCCGTGGTAAAGCCGAAACTCGTTGGAGTAGGAGTCGCACTCCAGGTGAATCCCCTTGGCCATTAGTTGGCTTACGCTTAGTAGGTTGTATCCCAGATTGTCGACAATGAGCACTTTGTTGAGCTGAAGTATGACGTTTGTCTCCATCGATTGTAACTGAACCACGCCTTGTCTGTTTGTCTTCAGGTTTTCGTTGTTGGCGACGGTGATGACGACGTCGCGGTTGAGGCGTTTCTCCTGTTGCACGAAGCGTCCCGAGGAGCACATGTGTTGACCGCAGCAGCTGTCCAAGAACCAGGTGTTTCGCCCGGTGGGTTCGGCGTTGGCGACCGCAGCATATGTTGGATTGACTTGAAGGCCTTGTGAGCGCGGTGGCGGCAGCTCTTCTTCGTCTGGCGCGTCGGTGGGTGGTGATCCGGGTGCGCAGTTGTCGATGTGTACCATGCAGTTGATAATGTTTGGTGTTTGTTGTGCAGATGTTGAAGAGCGCCTTGGGGGACTTGCTTGAGTGGAAGCGACTTGTGGGTCTGCTGGACGGTAAACGCGAGGGCGGTTGCAGTTGACCTTGGAGTGCCCGGAAGTCTGGCAGTTGTGGCAGAACGGCGGCACGAAGGTAAGCCCCCTGTTGTCGCGTTCTTGCTTGCCGCGTCGATTGTAGGTGTTGTCGTTTCTTCGTTGAGTGTAGAAGACTAACTGCTGTTGCTTTCTTGGTTGTCTTTCTTCGAACAGGTCCATCTCCTGTTGTTCAGCGTGAAGCTCGGCGCAGAGGTGCATCTCCGAAATCCTTCCGTGGGCGCGAAGAAGCGATCGTGTGGTTCTCCATTCTGGCCCGAGCCCGGCGAGGACAAGTGTTACGAAGCTTTCTTCAGTGATTGTTCCTCCGCACCGAAGCAGGCGGTCGCGGAGGGTCTGGCAGCGACTCATATACTGCATCGCCTTTTCCCCGGTCTTCATCTGTATTGTTGTCAGTTGTTGCATGAGTCTGCTTTGTGTCACGCTGTCGTTTGCTTGGTAAAGGCACTTGAGATGGTGCCATGCGAGCTCCGCGGAGTTTCCATAGCTCCTGTATGTTCTGATGCTCTGCTGTTCTTGTGGTGACAGGTTTCTCAGGAGAACCGTATACGCCAGCAGCGACTGATACGTGAAGATTTCTTGTTCCTTTCCAGTGCCGTTGCTTGGGAATGGCAGGGACCCGTTGAAGTATCCCAGAAGATGCGCGGCCTCCATCAGCAGCTCGAACTCGAAGCTCCAGGTAAAGAAGTCGTGTCCGTTGAACGGTGAGGATGTCTGCAGTTTTATCACGTGCGAGAACTGCGCCTGGAGACTTAAGATTTCGTTTGGTGTTTGTTGTGATGCAGCTGCTGTTGGTTGGGCACGGGGCGGCATAAACTCGAACGTCCCCGGTGAAGAGTGATAAGGCGCAAAGGTAGGCGCTTGATTGTGTTGCCCAAACGATGAGTTGTCGAGGCTCATCGGCGCTAATCCCATGTTTCCTCCATTGCTTTGTGCTGAATGCGCAGGTGTCCTTGTCTGCTGCTGCTGGTCGAAGTGCGACATGAAGCTGAAGAACCTTTCCATAAGGTTGGGGTCCACGCTTGAAGAGGGAGATGGAGTCACCATCTCTGGTACTCTTCCCATTGTTTCTTGAGCAGTCCCGGTCTCTGTCTGCAGTCCTGAGGTGTGCAGACCAGAGTTGCCGTGTTGAGTTTCTTGGCCGCTGGGTGAGCCCGTGGAGACTTTCTTGCCCTTGCTGTCCATGTCTTGTAATCAATGAAGTCGTTGAATTGAGTTGAGTTGCAGGGTGTTGATGGAGCGTAGTTGCTGGGAGTTTGGTCTCTGACCAGCTCTCATACCATATTGGGCTGAGAAAAGCCCTTAGGATCTTTCCAGAGCAGAGACTAAGTCCCAGTTGTAGAATGAGACTTGAGTAGTGCAGCGGAAGTTGAGGCAGTTGAACCCTTGTACTAGTATGTGAGAACAAGTGATTAATTGAAGAAACAAGCATACAACAATATATAGAAAATGGGAAGGCAGTTGTAGAATACAGTTACAGGAACGGTTTATCGAGTCGCACAGCGACTCGATTGCCGCTTCGGTTACCATCCGTGATGTTGTAACGGTCAGTCGCAACCTCCAGTTGCGACATTTCGAGTCTTTTCGCATTCTTTTGTTCACCCCCTCGTGTAACCTCCGTTGACTCGCGTGCTCCCCTGTAATCTTCCTCGAGTACAGTGTTACACTTCAGAAACGCTCAAGTCCTTTGAGATATTTCCAACAGGTATGAACTGTCCGGATCGACAGCCGAGGAGTAAATCTCAACCCTGCTTTTCGGTTGTGTCACAATCGCGCCAAGCAGGATACGGTTGATGCTGAACTCGATAACCTTGTAACAGGATGGGAACAAAATAGTGTTACTATTTTCGAAACAAGTGTGACATAGCGATAATTTTCGAAGTGCTAAACATCCGGGCAATTTTTTTCCGCCACTGTATCTGTGTAGCCTATACAGTAACTATAAGTTGACATTACCGTTTATGCATTTCTGATTTTTAGTTAGACTGTACTAGTAGCGTATGCGATACCTTATATATATCTAGATCGCAGTAATTTCACAACCTGGAACGCCGAGGGTGGGGGTTGTCGTTTAGCCAAGGGAGTGAAAATAGAGATAGCCTCGCCATGAAAAGAGCGAGATCCAATCGGCGCTGACTCAAAAAAGGGAAGGGGCATCACATCACGCATGCAGACTTGGAGAATCTGCTGTGAATTGTGGCGGGGATTGTGTTATGCCAACGACCTGAATTTGACTCGCCAATCGTGTTGTGACATGCTGACCTTGTTTTGTTCCCATTTGCGCCATCTGTCTGACTCGTCACATCTTGTGACCTAGTTTCAATTTGCTCTGCACACGATATTTCGGTTTGGCTGCTGATTGGCTCTGAGTCTGACTCGTCACTATTACGTCAAAAGCGCCAACAGTTATACAGTTCTTGTCACCACGTCGAGTGTGCATGTTCAACATCCCACAGCTGGCGTCCCCCGCTATGCGAAACAGGGTGTGAAGATGGGGGTGGGGAAAATGTCATGGGTTAGGTGTGGAAGGACGCGCGTGATGACGTCAGCAGTAGCGAGCCAACGTGTGAACAGTAGGTTCGTTCGTATAGTCACCCGATGGGGTCACGCCACTCTCATTCACATGAACAGTCACTAGTCATGTCACATGAATAGCCGCAATACACTACGAACAGGTATATCCCAAATAGGTACTTTCTAGACTATATGCTTATCCATTATTATTGTCCTTGTTATTTCAGAGATTTCCTCTGTAAGGTGTAAAGTCTTCCGTTGACTTCTACTCTTGGTTCCACCAACTCTAGATCCCGACCACCCTAAACACGTGGTTTACTCCAATATGGTATTCTGAGCAAGTCGATTTACAGGAACCCGTTATAAGCTGATCTCAATTACGCCATTAGCTGATGTTAGTGATCCTCCATTTTGTCAGTCAGTAAGACAGGAAATTCATCTACGAATTCTCCTACTTCTAGTCTACCTACTGAATTCGCTTCTGTGATGTTTATTCAATCTACTCAGCAACAACAACAAGCTCCATCATATCCTACAGCTTCTATGAGCCTTGATAACTCTTGTTATGCAAGAGCTGCTGTTGCCGCTGTACCTTCAGCCCCTTGAAATGAGTCCGCCGGGTCTTTTGGTTTCTATGGGCAACCTGCACAACAACAGCAGCAGCAGCAACAACAACAACAACAACAACAACAACAACAACAACAACAACAACAACAACAACAACAACAACAACAACAACAACAACAACAACAACAACAACAACAACAACAACAACAACAACAACAACAACAACAACAACAACAACAACAACAACAACAACAACAACAGTATCAAATGGTAGAAGAAAGGCGTTCGCTGATGCACCAACTGTTTTACATCAAGCAAATTTCGTTAGCATCTCCAAGCTGAAGACCTCAACTTACTTTGACAGCCGCGCCTTCTATACTTGGGAGTTCGAGTTTGAACCCCTTGTCACAGCCGCTAACCACTGTGCTAAAAGGGCTTGTTAAGTAGCGGGTCAGCGCACCCATAGCCCCCCAGGCATAGAGGCCTGTGGCTCTTCCAAGGATCTCTAGGTCAGCCTTAGTGTGTTACTTGACACCCCCCTCGCGCTATGGTTGGCGGAGGTCTCAGTCAGCCAATTCTGGTGCACACTAGGAATTAAACCCTAGACCACTCAGATACCATGTCACAACCGTTAACCACTGTGCTAAAAGGGCTTGTTAAGTAGCGGGTCAGCGCACCCATAGCCCCCAAGGCATAGAGGCTTGTGGCCCTTCCGAGGATCTCTAGGTCAACCCCAATGTATCACTCGACACTCCTTGCGCAATCTTCGAGTATCTAGAGATACGTTGACGACACAAACCACTTTCCTGAATCAGAAACAGTCGAAGAACAACCGCATTATTACAAGTATTCGCTTATGGCCTACACGTATGGAATCTCTCACCTGAAGAGCAGTTGGGAGTTCGGTGCTTCAAACCTTCAATTGCTCTAGCCTTCTACGCCTGGGATGATCTGCGAAGGCTATATCAAGCACAAGATTCCGTTACACAAAGCAAGTTGTTAACTCAACTTACAATGCAAATGCTTACGGGAGAAAAAGCCCGCAGCTACATCAACAAATGCTGAAACCCTCGGGGCCAGCTCGGCAAGTGCAGAGGAAACCCCAGTAATGAGCTCTTCGTCACTATCCTCTTGGCTGGACTTGGATCCAAATGGAGGCAGTGAAAGTCCCTTCTTCGTTCCAAGGGAACATCTCAGAAACTTCTCTTTGTGCTGCTCTGATGGCAGAGCATCAGGACTTGGACCTGTACAATGCAAAAAGGGGCAAGACCAAGAGCGGGTTACGCTTCTATACAGGTGGACCAAGTCAAGGGGATCAGATAACACATGGACCAAGTCAATGGGAGCAGACATGAAAAGGCAAGGGCTTCTGCAAATTCAGCAAACGAGCAGGTCAATATATTGAAGAGTGTTAGAAACTAAGAACAGGTAGCGGGAGAAGTCGGGTGAAGCTGCCCCAGTCAAGTATGTCTTGCCACCCTAAGCTTTTTCAACTCAACCTGTAATAGGCAAGGTGATTATCAACTGCATGATTGGACCTCATTGGTCTAGCGACTGGCATCAATGGCAATGATGTCCAGAGCCGGCAGTTATTGATGAAGAAGAAACAGAACAGCCCACGGCTCTTCCTCGACGTTTGAACGTGCAACCGTACGCCTACGTCACCAAGCACACGCATTCCGAGCATGTTAACACGTGGTTTTCTTGATAGTTGTTGTTGTCTTCTCAACTCGCGAGACCTGCCAAAAGAAGAGAAGTATAACATTACAGTGGCCAATAATCAGACAATGGAAGCAACTGCAATGGGAGACGTGCTGCTAGAATCCGAAAAAACGGGGATTTCACTTCACCTGAACAAGGCTCTCGTCGTCATGGAACTCGGCTTCAATCTGCTATCACAAGTGCATCTGATGTAGAGTGGAATTCGCTTCGTCAGCACCGCTAGCACGATGCTTATGGAGCTGTACCTAGGACACAAGAAAGAAGACAAGAGTAACTTGATTGACATCACATAAATTAAGGATGGCGTCTTGGTTCTAAGTTTCTCACATGAATCTTCCACTAGCAACAATCAGAAGACTGTCTCACTCGCCCCTTGGCATCATCGTTGGGAAATGGATCTCCAACACAAAAGATTATTGCGGAATCAATGTCTACTATATCACACCTTAGCCTTCTCGTACAACCCCCCTCGACGAACCTGAAGCAGAGACAATAGAAGCAGCAACAGCAGCAGCAGAAACATGTCAAGCTACTTGGGCATCTAGAGACGGCAGCTGGGGTTACACTAATCAAGAACATATTTCAGCTACAGTAAAAGAACTTATGGAGGTAGAAGGCATATAGGGCAAGAAAGAGTTAATCGTACCTGATTCTTGGGCGCGTCACCGACACCTCGACATCCCTTCGGCTGAAACCGCAGAAGAAGCCGGATTCATCCAGCCTTTTGGCACCAGTAGTTGCATTAACATTGCGCCAACGATTCATCTTTTGCCGGCCTTCTTCCTTCACTCCGATTTGTACCAGCATTCAAAAGGGCACAGAACTACAGCAAAAACATGGCACAAGCAGTTAGGTCATCCTTCACAAGAAGCTTTTAACAACTCAATTCAAGCCTCGATTTTCGATAAGAATGCACTTTTCCGAACCAACTGCCAAGAGCTTCGACCTAGCAGCCGCCAGTCACCCTGCACCATCTGCCCTGTCGCTCACCTCAACCACGCTCCATACCCGTTGCACTTCTCGAGTGCTCCTAAGTACTCACCAATGGACGTCGTATTCAACGACATCCTCTTCATGCCGCAAGAAGCAGACGACATCAGCAACAATGATTACCGCTGTATAAATACCTTCATTGACGTTGCTACCCAATATGTATTGCACAAGAACTTATCACATTAGTAAGAAGCTCTTGATGCCGTCAAGTTATGGATGAAAATAGCAGAGCAACAGAGTGATATCAAACTACAAAAGATACAGATAGACAACGTGGAAGAGTACACTAGCGAGCAGTTCGATGAGTTTCTGGCGCAGAAAGGGATTCTAAGGTGCAAGACAGTAATGCTCATCAGCAAAATGGAACCGCTGAGCGGACGGCCAGAACAATGCAAGAGAAGATGCGCTTGCTTCTGCCACAGATTTTTTTGGCGTTTGCAATGGCACAAGCTGTCAAACTGCACACAAGCCTCTCTTCAACTGCCTACCTCAAATCAATTAGCCACATGTCATGTGGACAAAGCAGCCCACCAATACTCGACTTGTACAAGTTTGGGGCTGCGTGGACCAATACCGAACTCCGAGTGCAACTGCGGGCAGGTCTACTGAACAAGCTCGATGGGGAATACACCTCGGTGTACCTAAAGATTCTCATTTCGGGATGATCATGGATTACAAACTTGAAAAGTTTTGTATGCGTGAGATCGATCTTCTACAATAAATTATTGCTCAATGACTTTGAACACGACAAGGAACGCTAGCAGCGAGATCCTGATCGAAGTGTTGAAAGAAGTTTTGCCAACCCTCAAGATGAAGCAGATGCAGTCGAAGAATACCCATCAGCACTGCAGTAGAACCTTCTACAGCTCCACAGCCTTCCACACCAGTAGCTGAACCTGGTCCTTTGTCATGTGAAGAACCAGAGTTCGACTCCTACATTCCAACACCATACGCCTTTAGTACAGAAATTCCGCTCTTCATTCCTCTCTCGGACTCGTTGCGTCCTGCCATGACACATGCTGCCTACAATTATGAGGAGCACCTGCGCCGATAAAAAGCTGACGTAGCATCACATGACGATGCCCACCACCTGCTATCCAAAATTGACGATGCGTACGTTGTTGAAGTTCGCCAACCATATCCTCGTGGTAACCAACCGGTTTAGCAACCAACGGCCGAAATTGAGCCGAAAACAGTCAAGCAGTCCCTCTCTGACTCTGATGCATCCAAGTGGCAAAAAACGATGGATGCAGCTCTTGAGAAGCGTAAAACATGGAAATTGGTTCCATGTGAAGCAGTACGCGGCAAGAAGATTCTTTCAAGCAAGTGGGTCTTTCACATAAAGACAAATGTAGCCGACGAACCAGACAAATTCAAGGGGAGATGGGTTGTTCGAAGATTCGAACAAACCCATGGCAACGACTACGACTAGAATTTTGCTCCGGTTGGCCACCATACCTTAGTTCGAATCCTTCTTGCCATTGATGCAAGTCGCTACCAACCACTTCACTTGTTCGACGTAAAAAATGCATTTTTATATGCAAAAGTCGATGCTGTATCTTCTTCGAACTTCCTCACACTTACGGCGATGGACTCCACATCTGCAAATTACGTACATCTCTCTATGGCATCAAACAAGGTCCTTGTCTGCGGCAGCAGCATCCTCACAAAGTTACGATTTCACTCGGTTTCGAGCAGCTGCCCTATGATTTTGGAATGTACAAACGCAAAACTCAGGGACACTTTATTCTTCTACTCGCCTACATGGACGACTTACAAAACACAGGCTCGTGCAACTGTCAACTCGCTCGCATGGAAGAAGGAATCCAAGAAATTCTCGATGTCACTATTTCCCCCAAAGTAAGCTACTCAGTTTCTTAGGTTAAACATTGACGATGACCCTGATGCAATCTATCTCTCTGCCAGAAAGTACGCCAAACATCTTGTGAAAAAGTTCGCCATCGCTCCCTTCGGCCCCACTACTCCTTTTTGTCATATTCCGGCTGACCACATACCCAATACTACCCTACTTACCGCCTCCGAGCTTCAGCTTTACCACCAGCAGCTCGGGTGACTTCTATTTGCATCCGTTACCTGCCGACCAGATCTTGCTGATATCATGAGTCAGCTCGCGCAATACCTGCGCCGACGTAAAGGGGAGAATATGGCCAATCTTCGTCGAGCCCTTCAATATTTGATTTCGACACATACAGTCGGACTCGGCTATACGACAACTACTACAACAAATATTCGGCTGGCTGGATATGTTGACGCAGATCACGTTGCTGACCCCTACAACGGGCGTTCGCATATCAGGTTCCTCTTCAAGCTTGAACCAGGTGGTGTCATTTCATGGAATTCAACAAAATAGGAGGTTATCGAGCTATCGTCAGCCGAAGAAGAATTCATCGCAGCAAGCTCTGTAGTTCGCGAAGGACTCTATTTTCAAGACTTTCTTCAAGCTACTCAGCAAAATCCAGAGTGTAATCAAGATTGCAAACAAGCCCGCTTTGTCAACAGGACAAAACACCTTGCCCTCCGTTACTTCTTTGTCAAGGACGAAATCAACAACGGAAATG